TCCTTCTCAGTACTTTAGGGACATTTTAATAACCTGAGTAAGTGCCATTGGTAGGCAGGCTTTGTTTTCTGCTCATTAATGACTCTCCAGGCTAGACTTCATTCCTCTTACCACTAATTCAAATACAGAGATACATAAAATGAATGCTGCCAACTGATTGCCATGCTATTGTCTTAATATCATTGCTCTCCTGCCTGCTTAGGCGTGAGGTGGAGAGGAGAAGGGAAGGTGTGTGACAGGTAACCCGTGATAGCTACATGTATTTTAAAAGCCACATTCTGGGGGCGCCTGGGTGGCTCAGTCAGTTCAGTGGCTGACTCTTGATTTCAGCTTAGGTCATGATCTCACGGTTGTGAGATCAAACCCTGCATCGGGCTCTGCATGGACAGTGTGGAGCCTGCTTGGGATTCTCTCTCTCTGCCCCTCATGCACACGCATGCTTGTTCACTCTTAAAGTAAATAAACTTAAAAAGTATTTAAAAGCCATATTCTGGTACAGAAATCAGAATTTTAACACGTACAGGCATACCTCACTTTATAACAGTTCCTTTGTTGGGCTGGGCAGAGCTTGCATTTTTAAAAAACTTGCAGGGTTGCCACAAACCTTCATCAAGCAAGTCTCTTTGGTGCCATTTTTCCAACAGCATTTGCTTCCTTTGAGTCTTTGCATCACATTTTGGTAATTCTTGAAATATTTCAAACCTATTCATTACTCTTAGATTTGTTATGGTGATCTGTGACCAATGAGCTTTGATGTTATCATTGTAATTGTTTGGGGGCATCACAAACCATATAAGATGGCAAACTTAATTGATAAATGTTGTATGTGTTCTGGTTGCTCCACTAATTGACTGTCCGCCCATCTTGTTCCGTCTCCTCAGGCCTCCTTATTCCAAGACAAGCAATATTGAAATAAGGCCAGTTAATAACTCTACAGTGGCCTGTTAAGTGTTCAAATGAAAGGAAGAATCCTATGTCTCTCACTTTCAATCAAAAGCTAGAAATGATTAAACTTAGTGAGGAAGGTGTGTTGAAAGCTAGGCCTCTTGCACCAAACAGGTAGCCAAGTTGTGAATGCAGAGGATACATTCCTGAAGGAAATGATAAGTGTTCCTCCAGTGAACACACAAATGATAAGAAGGCCAAACAGCCTTATTACTGATATGGAGAAAGTTTGATAGAAAATCAAACCAGCCACAATATAGGCACCCTAAGCCAAAGCCTAATGCAGAGTGAGGACCTAACTCCCTTCAATTCTATGAAGACTGAGAGGCGAGGAAGCTGCTGGAGAAAAGTTGGAAACTAGCAGAGGTTGTTTCATGAGATTTGAGGAAAGAACCTATAAAACATTGTTCCGTAAAACAAGGTGAAGCTGCGTTATCCAGATATCCAAGTTATCCAGAAGATGTAGCTAAGATAATTCATGAAGATGACTGCACTAAACACATTTTCAATGTAGATGGAATAGCCTTATTTGGAAGAAGATGCCATCCTGGACTTGCATAGCTAGAGAGGAGAAGTCAATACCTGGCTTCAAAGCTTCAAAGGATAGGCTGTGACTCTCTTCTTAGGGGCTAATGTAGCTGGTGACTAAGTAGAAGCCATTGCTCATTTGCCTTTCTGAAAATCCTAAGGCCCTTAAGGATTATGCTAAATCTACTCTGCCTGTGCTCTCTAAATAGAACAGCAAAGCCTAGATGACAGCACATCTGTTCACAACGTAGCTTAGTGAGTATTTTAAACCCACTGTTGAGACCTATAGCTTAGAAAAAATATGACTGCTCATTGACAGTGTACCTGTTTACCCAAGAACTCTGATGGAGATATACAGTGAGATTAGTGTTGTTTTCATGTCTCCTAACACGACATCCACTCTGCAGCCCATGAATCAAGGAGTCATTGTGACTTTTAAGTCTTATCATTTAAGAAGTAAGTTTCATAAGGCTATAGCCACCGTAGAAAGTGATCCCTGTGATGGATCTGGGAACAGTAAATAGAAAACCTCCTGGAAAGGATTCACCATTCTAGATGACATTAAGAACATTCATGATTGATGGGAAGAGGTCAAAATGTCGACATTCACAGGAGTCTGAAAAGAAGCTGATTTCAACCATCATGGGTGACTTTGAAGGGATTCAAGATTTCAGGGGAGGAAGTAATTTCTAATGTGGTGGAAATCACAAGAGAAGTAGAAGAGAAAGTGGAGCCTGAAGGTGTGACTGAATTGCTGCCATCTCATGATCAAACTTGAATAGATGGGGAGTTCTTTCTTATGAATGAGCAGAGAAAGTGGTTTCTTGTGATGGAATCTACTCCTGGCAAAGACACTGTGAAGATCATTGAAATGACAACCAAGGATTTAGAATATTACATTAACTTAGTTGATGGAGCAGCAGCAGGATTTGAGAGGATTGACTCTAGTTTTGGAAGAAGTTCTGCTGTGGATAAAATGCCATCAAACAGCATCATATGCCTCAGAGAAATCATTCCTGAAAGGAAGTGTCAATCTAGGTGGCATACTTAATTGTTGTCTTATTTTAAGAAATTACCACAGCCACCCTAGCCTTCAGCAGCCACCACCCTGATCTGTCAGCAGCCCTCAACATGGAGGCAGGGGCCTCCACCAGCAAAAAAATTATAACTTGTTAAAAGCTCACATGATGGTTAGCATTTTGTAGCAAGCAAGTATTTTTAATTAAGGTATTACATTCTTTTTTAAAGACATAATGCTATTGTTGAAGTTCCTGGGTGGCTCAGTTGGTTGAGTGTCTGACTCTTGATTTTGGCTCAGGTCAGGATCCCAGACTCATGGGATTGAGCCCCACATTGGCTCTGTGCTGATGGTGGAGACTGCTTAAGATTCTCTCTCTCCCTTCCCCTGTCTTCCCTCCCTTCTCTCCCCTAGCCTCTCTCGCCTGCTGACGTTCTCTCTCTCCAAAAAAAAACTGTAAGGCTATTGCACACTTAATAGACTACAGTATAGTATAAACATAACTTTTATATGCACTGGGAAGCGAAAAAATTAATTTGACTTGCTTTATTGCAATATTCAGTTTATTGAAATAGTCTGCGACTGAACCCACAGTATCTCTGGGATATGCCTGAACATATTATTGATATTTGTGCCTAGTTAGGGTTTTGGGAATGCCCTACTTAGCGTTACATGTCCTCTTTCTCCCTTCTTGTGATACACAGGCTGCCTTGGGTGTACACTCAGGCATATGTTTAATGCTTTGAATTCTTTTGCTCCCGTGGCTTGTTTTTGGTCCTAAGGGCATTCTTGTTTGCAATCTGTGGAGTGTTTATAGCATCGGAATAGCATCATGTCCTTAAATGGAATTTGGATTAGTTACTTTCAAATGTGTCTCCCTAACAGTCCAATGACTGTGGAAGTAATACCATGGAAAGGCACATGATCTGATTTGAATAGAAAGATATGTGGATATGGTTTTAGAGCTTTATGTTTATTAAAAAAACAAATCTCTCTTCTTTATTCTTGGGGCTAGGTATCCTGCTTTATTGCTATGATAACACACAAGAAAGAAACATGACACAAGTTGAAATAATTGAAAATGCCCACATCCAACTCAATGTATTTTATTTGAATCCATGTAATTAATGTGGACTTGTTTGACGTACAGGTGCTCATAAAAAACTGGACAGGAGCTCTGGATTGCATTTTTTCCCCATAAAGGTAGAACTTCTTTATTTATTGTTTAATTATTTTTGAGAGAGAGCATGTGAACATGTAGGGGAGGAACAGAGAGAGAGAGATAGAGAGGGAGACACCGAATCCCAAGCAGGCTCCAGGCTCTGAGCTGTGAGCACAGAGCCCAATGTGGGGCTCGAACCTACAAACCATCAAATCACAACCTGAGCTGAAGTCAGACACTCAACCGACTGAGCCACCCAGGTGCCCTCAGAAAGGTAGAACTTCTAGTTTAGAAGTAAAGATTCCTCTTCAGGTAATACGTAATTATTTGTTAATTTGATGAGCACTCTACATTGTGTCTTGAAGCTATTCAGAGTACTTTGGGAGCATCTGTTGTGCCATCATTTGGAGGCTGCTAAGATGTTTCAGAAATAAACTCCAAATGCCTTGACAACGGCAGTTTGATGCTTGATGTAGGCAGTAACACGGTGCTGCATGGGGATTCTTCATCTTGGCTTCATGTAGGAAAATTAATACTCTCAAATGCATCCAAGGTGTGTTTTGGGTAAGAGGGTAGTTTTTTTTTTTGAGTCTTGGCTTTCTTCCTCTATTTAATAGTGACAGCTGTCATTTTTCACCTTCAGAAAAAAGCATCACTGATTTTATAAATAGCAAATCATTTTTTGGGTGGGCTCAGGTCTATGCTGGCAACCATTTTATACACATGACCTCATTTAAATGGCCAGGACTTTGCATGTATAAATGGACAAGTTTTCAGGCAATTTGGGTAGGCTTTCCAATCTCGCCTCTCCATTTCCTGTCTAAACAACTTCTTTCATGTCCACAGCATGTTTATGCAACATTGAATAAAACTTCTAATGGGAAATTTCTTCCAGGTGACCTCCCTGAGAGGCTGGGCTATGGAGAAATCTTAAGAAACCCGACTCTGATGAAATTGCCTCCTTTGAGAATATTACTCGGTGCAGAAACAAGGAACAGAATTCAGTTATTTTTAGTTCTTGAATAAATGAAATCGGTTTCCTTTTGTGTAGGTAGCAGAAAACATTAACCCCTGCAGCAGGTCCAGTTTCAGTTAGAAATTGAACTTTTGGATTCTGTGAATTAGGAGAACCTTGGAAAAGAGAATGTTAAATTTTATTTTTTATTTGAACCTCAAGCAACTTGGACTCGGTTCTGCCATCTGTGTATCTTTTATAGATGTGTCTTTTGCAGGGCTGTCTGCCTTTACATTTAATTTTCTGGAGGCTGGGACTGTGGTTATCAGATGACCTCTAACTTGGCACCATGTGTGGGTGGATACTAACGAATCCTTTCTCCACCTTCCTAGCACTTTTGGAGAAATCTATCAGTAGAAGGCGGGACACCGAAGCCATACAGAAAGCCAAAATCCTTTATTCATCTTGCATGAATGAGAGTAAGTAATAAAGACAATAAAATATTTACCACCCTCTTCTTCACAGACTCTCTTAATGTTTAAAGATATTATTTAAGGAAAAAGAGAACTACTAAGAATTCGATTAATGTTTAAAAGTGTTGTTTGAGGAAAGGAACAATTTTCAGAGACTGGATTTTGACTCTCCCGTTCTTAATGTTCTGTTGGTAGCTTGATGGAGAAAATAGGAAAATAATTTTATTTCTATGGCTTGGATTCTTTAGGTATCAAGTACTCCATGAGAAACTTGGGTAGGGTCAGAAGGGCAGACCCCATTGTATGTGGTGCAGAAATAAGAATCCAGAGGCCAGGTCTGGTCTGAGAAGGAGCTGGGAGAGAGGGTATTTGGGAGTGTTGCTATATCCCATAGAATCTTACAGGGGCCCAAGAAAATCCAGATTCCCAGGTGGGCTGGGCCCCTTCTGCTTTTCCATCAGTCTAACAGGCATCTTAGGTGGGTGTGTTAGGCCTGTGTTGGCATCTTGGGTCTGATTGAAGTTAAGGTGACACTTGTCATTTTATCTGGTGTGCTTTCTCAAGACCACTGCAGGGAGAAACCAGTGCCAGTGGGAAGTGTGTTAACTTGTTTAGGATTTGAGATCTTATTTGGTGAGGTAGAAGAGGGCAGTAAAAGATGACAAAGGAGCCTTGAGGCATTAATTCATGCATAGTGGGGAGGGGTTGGTTTTACCAAGCAGTTTCCTTTACCTAGGGTGGTTCTGTAGTTTTCCAAAATATTCTCAGCCTAATATCGCTCATTGGGCTGTAGTGAGCCCATCTTTTATTGTCAGGAATTTCAGCAGGTTCCCTAGTCTGCTCTCCTGGCAAGAACCCCAAGTTTAGGCAGTCACACTGAAGTGTGAATCAGAGGTAGTTCTGTCTCTGTGGCCGTGCTCAGTCTACCACACCTCCCTCGAACAGCTGAAATGCTAAGTTGGGACCTTATGGGAATTTTCTCTTGAGAAGATACACTTGCCTTTTAGTTTGGTGATCCTGTTTGCAATTCTAACTCTTCTTTCATATCTGTTCCCTTTCAGAAGCGATCGAAAGAGCAGATGCCAAACCATTGCTCCACATCCTGCGGCATTCACCTTTCCGCTGGCCTGTGCTCGAGTCTAATATTGGTCCTGAGGGAGTGTGGTCAGAGAGAAAGTTCAGTCTTTTGCATACCCTTGCAACATTTCGTGGTCAGTACAGCAATTCTGTGTTCATCCGACTGTATGTGTCCCCTGATGACAAGGCATCCAACGAACATATCTTGAAGGTATAGTGAGCACTTGTTCATCCCGTTTGTTCAGTTCATGGTTAGCCTTTTGGGGTGTGTTTCCAGGGAATGAGAATCCTAGCACCTTACTGAAATGATCAGATAACAATTCTGTTAATCATTAGGATCTATAATATTCCCCTTCATCCCAGATTTGTGGAGTATAAATGAGGAACAAATCAGTTTTGTCTGCCTTTCAGGAAGCTTGTGGATGAGTTTCAAGTCATCTCTGATCTGGCCCTCAAATCTCTACTCTGAGCATGTGTGGGGCCCCTAAATTCCAGTGGGGAGCAGGCTGCAAAGACTTTGTGAACTCTGCTCCTCCCCTCACCTCATCCTTCCCTTGACAAAGGAGAACACATACCACGAGCCTTTGTTCACCTTTCCCTAACATATTCTTACAGGCACATCTAAAATTTCATTGTCAAGTTCATCCTGATTCTCCCTTCCTTCATTTAAAAAGGAAGAAAAACTTGTTCTAAGTATTTGTTTGCATTTTCTGTTAGGAGAGTAAGCATTTTTCCCATGAAGGAATGGGGCATGCAGACATACCTTGAGGTACATTATTATATTGGTAAAATTGGGACTGTCTGAAAACTACCAACAAAGACTCATCAGTAAAACAGCTTGGCAAGGATTCAAATAACATTTCTTAAATTGTTTTGTGTTTTGATCCTGTTAAATGTTTTACTTCCACAGCTACTTGGACTAATTATGAAAATTTTACTGTATCACTGATTATTTTCCTCCCAGTTCTGTCCTTTGTCAAACCAGAAAATATTGGTGATATAATGATGATCAAATTGTAGAAGTATAAAACCTTTAGAGTATATTACCCTCTTTTGTTGCAAGTCAGCTTTTAAAAATCTACGCCCTACAGTTTTGTTTTTATTATACCAAGGAGCTGGCATTTTTTTTTTCCTGTGAAGGACCAGATAGTAAACATTTTAGGCTCTGTGGGCCATATGGTCTCTGTCTCACCTACTCAGTTCTGCTGTTGCATCTGGGAAAGCAGCCATAGACACTACATACATGAATGGGTGTGGTTGTGTGACAGGCTGGCCAGCACGCTGTGGTCTGCCCAGCTATAGTTTAGACAATGGAAGTCTCAGTAAATCTCTAGTCACTGGCAGAATTCCCATCTACTCAGGAGGAAATTCTTAGTTCCAGAGATGTCTGTACTTCTGTGCTGGGTGAAGGAACAGGAACATGGCACCGACACACATGCTAATGCTGTCTGGATAAGATGTGCTATGCAAGACTCAAGGCAAAACAATGTTACATAATGGCCCAGTTGACCTGTGTTATGCTAATAGATTCCTTGCTTAAAAAACAAACAAACCAGGTTTTAAGGCTGTCATTCTTCATTGCAGAACTGTTATGATATCCTTTCAAATACCTTAAGTATTTTGAAGTTAGATGGAGACTTTCAAACTTAAATTTCTGCACTCTGTTGGGTGATAGAAGATCTTGACTCACACACATAAAAGTAATTACAAATGGTAACCATTTCATTTTTCACCAGTTTCTGGACCTAGTCTAAGAATTTATTTCCTTAAGCATTTTACTATGGAAAATAATACAAAAATAAAAAGAATAGTATAACAAACCCCCATGTACTCATCAACCCAGCTTCAACAACTGGCAGCTTTTGGCTCTTCTTGTTTTATCCTAACCTTTTCTTTTGTGGGGGAGGCTGGAGCATTTTATAGCAAATCCAAAATTAATATCATTGCACTGGTAAATCAGTATTTATAGAATGGAAGGACTATTATCACAAAGTAATCATGATTCCATAATTAACATCTAACAACTAGTTAATTTTCAGTTTTCCTGAAATGTCTCAAACATGTCCTTTAAAAAAATTAAACAGTTGGTCTTTGAGTCAGGTTCCAAATAGGAGTCTCATGTGCATTTGGTTGATGTGTCAATTTTCATCAGCAATGTAGATCTGACCGATTTCAGGGTAAACTAATAGTTGATGAGGGAAAATTATTGTTTATAGGAGAATCACAGCTTTAAAATGCAGGAGAAAGAATAAAATTAGAAAGTTACTGTTTTAAAACATTTCTAATGAGAATAAGGGATCAAGGCAGCTATCATCAATAGCAGCTTAGAACCATTAGGTCAGTGGTTGATGGGGGAATTCATGGTAGATCACACTGACATCAAATGAACCCAAACATCAACAGTAGCCTTGCTAAAAGTGGGGCAACCAGATTTTGTATGCCTTCCGATACTGGGCACTGGGAAGCATACACCATCACCCATGATGTCTTGCCAAAGGAAAAGAAAAAAAATGAACTTGGATCTAATCAGGCCTCTAGTTTTAATACCAGCTTACAAGAAACATGGAGAATAAAGGAACATGGTAACCAATTTTTAACAGCTTGCCTTGCATACTTAATATTCAATTAAATGGATCTTGGAAACACTGGACTGTCAATGAATAGACTAGTCTCCAGATATGAGTAGGCACTCATGGACTTCACTACTGCTCTCTTTTGCCAAGATGGTAACTTGTTCCAAACTGATGTGTTTGACCATGGCTTGGTATTTGAACGCAGCGTTCGTTTGCTTTAGTTGTGTCCCTGTTTGTACCATTTTATGTGAATAGTCACACACTTGAATTAACAAAATAGAGCTGCAGTCTCTGTAATTGTGACACCGTTAAAAGAAGTTCAAGCTTGTGTCTAGATATGGTAGAAGAAGCTCTCTTCTGAGATCTGCCTAAAACCCAATGAACCTGACAACAAAAATTAGTGTATTGGTAGCTGCCAGTGTTGTAGAATTTCCAAGTGTTGATTTTATTAGAAATAGTTAAAACTATAAAACATTTGATTAAATATTTGGAGCCTCTGGAGCACTTTTTAAAAAAATTTTATTTATTTGAGACAAACAGAGACCGTGTGAGTGGGGGAGGGTCAGAGAGCAAGGGAGAGAGGATCCAAAGCAGCCTCCATGCTGCCAGTGCAGAGCCCAGTGTGGGGCTCGAACTCATGAAACTGTGAGATCATGACCTGAGCA